GAAGCAATCTCTCTGCTGCTTCTACTGAAAAGCCTTGAGAGTTAGATTTCTCTCCCCACACCCAATCTTTTTAAATTCAGCTTAGTAAGACTTTATTAACATGAGAAACAATACCGGTTTTGTGAAAGCATAAAAGAAACAAACCCCTTCCGGTGTCTGTTGGAAGTAGTCACACTCCACCCAGCTGCTCATTATTCAGAAGGACTAATCAGTGTTACTACCTTCCCTTCTTTGAAAAGAAAAATCTATGGGCCATTCTCGTTTTCTCTGATTGCAGCTAGCTAGAAGGATCAGAAGAAGAGCTAAGTAAACAGAAGTGTTTGATATCTCATATCACATTTTTATTTGGCACAAAGGCCAAGTAAACAGGCGTTCATACCTCTTGTTGCACCACAAATGCCCAAAATCTGCAGTTGCAAAGGTGGTCATAGTTTCTGTTGCTTTATCACAGCAGGTGTCTGTTTCCTTTATGGTGTGGAAGAGCAGGCATCCTGGGGCTCGAGGCACCCCAATGGTGCTCCTTGGGCTTGAGGGCCCCAATCCTGTGTGCCCTGGGAATTCTCATGCAACTTTGGGCCTTTAAAGCCCCAGGAGTACCTGCCCGGCTTTACCCTCTTACAGAGAGGCTTACTTACTCTGAGGCACATCTCTGCAGGCCAAAAACCCCAGCTTTTCTAGCTGAGAGATTGCACGCCAGGAAATCTTTGAGATGTTTCTCTGTAGGCAGGGAGCACATTGCTCATTGTCCCACATGATTGGGCCCTTGCCTGATGTGGGACAATGGTCAGAGTGTGTTTTGCCGAACAAAGCAGATCAGCTCTGGTTTTATACTCTGTAAGTTTCCATTCATGTCTGCCTCATACCAAAAAAGGCCCGGTCCTGCAAAAACTTTGCCTTTGTCTAAAGCTAAAAGTTCATTAATAGAATCATTAGATTCTAAATTTAAATGAAGATAAATAATTTGAAATTTGAAAGCTTGGGTTTTATTAAGTTTTATAAATTTGGCCATATTTTATATTTTGTTTCTGGCCTTATCTACACACAAAAGTTGTATGGATTTAACTTTTGACTGGTCTGTACTTAAAAGTTTTATTGGTATGACCATAGATTCATAGATTCATAGATGTTAGGGTCAGAAGGGACCTCAATAGATCATTGAATCCAACCCCCCTGCATAGGCAGG